TACAACGTTTGCATTTAAAAATCACCTATGTAGACAGTCCCAAAAGGTGAAGCCGGTTGTGATTGGGATTTTAAAGATGATTGCTATTTTGATTGCCTTTTGCTTTACACCATATGAGCTTTGGATTTTGATGAGGATCCATATTTTGGTAGAGGAAAAGATGATTGTGATGGCACTGGTGATCCACATGTCAACCTTGTATGACCACTTTCCTTGCACCGACTACATGTCGATCTCTTCTTCTCTTCACCCTTAGAAGGTATACGATCGTGACTTTTTGGTCAGCCAGGTAGCCTTCTGTCCATGGCTAGTGGCAAAACTGTTTGTAAGTCATCTGGTATGTCCCACTCAGAAGGATGCGGAATAGGGTAGACAATCTCGCCATAAGTCTGTCGATATACTTCTGTAGTGTAGCAATCCATAACGTATGCGCTTGAATCATCTTGGTTTAAATGAAGAGAAACTTTTATAACATGGTCATACGGATAACGAGATGTTTTCCATTTCATACAACTACACGTCTTTGCATTTAGATCGACAAGCCCATTTAAGTTATTATCCAGTACTTCAAACAAAGTGTTTGAACATGGTTCAACTCTTCATGACGTTGACTTCACAACACGTTTCGTTATCTTTTTTTCTGTCCATGGTGTAACACGATGTTCCAATGTTCTTGTAAATTTAAATAAATAATACTTAGTAAAATATATGATAAGTTACGAATTTAAAGAAATAATACCTGCATGGTTTCTTTTCTTGTAGTACCACTGTTGAATAGAGGATCGAAAAAACTCCATTAACATAGTAATGGGTAATTTCCTGGAATGACGACTTAGAGCGTTGATTGATTTTGCACTATTAGACGTCATGAAACCATATCTTGCTCCAAGTTGATGTACTCTTGACCATCTTTCAAACCCAATATCTTCTAGTGTTTGAGCACACTGAGGCAAAACACGTCTTAAACAGTTTATATGCTTATTAAAATCCACTTCCCGATAAGCTTTTACAGCATTCCAGTATGCCTATTTGTGATTTTTTATACTAGCAGACCTTGATTTTAGATTTCTATACAAATGAACACCACAAAGTCCATGAAAAGCATCTGGGAAACACCTTCTAACAGCGTTGTCAATTGAGTTTGCCCTATCGGATATGATTGTCAGATTGCTAATAGGACCTATGCAATCCCTAAGATGCCCCATAAACCATGTCCATGAATCAGAGGTTTCAGATTTGCCAACCCCGTAAGCTATTAGCAGTATCCCATTGTTAGCATCCATGGCTACTGCTAATAAGTTTACTCCAAAGTATCGACCTTTTAAATGTGCTCCGTCAACTATAATAACTGGGCGCATGCAATTAATAAACGAACGAATCTACAAAATCATATACACAAGAAATATAATCATTTAAATGTGAAATGCATGTAACTAACAAAAATGAGTCAACAAAATTATATTGATTTACTAACCGCAGCACCAATTGCGATAAACAGCAACTCAAAGCGTCCATCTCTATCTGTTTTGATATGAGTTACCGACCCATGATTTTTCAGCTTTAAATTGTGAAAATAAGCCGGAAGTTTGGCAAACGATGCTTCTGGCGACCCCCTCAACAATTCCAAGGCATAACATTTGGCTCTCCAAGCTTGAGAATATGAGATACTAATCTTGAACCAAGCATTCATGTCAGTCATAATTTCATGTCCCCGATATACCATACTATTCAAAAACATTAACTCAGCCAGAAAACCACCCAATACCTTTTTGTTTGCCTGTCTATGGTGAGGAAAAACTTGGGTTCTTGAACATGTATGTTTATCAATAAAAGTCCTAACTTGAAACATTTCGCAATCTTTTATCCTCTTTGCAATCATACGCCACATACAGTTTTTGTCAATCATACACCTTGTTTCGAAACGATCTTTGCTTGATTTTTTAACTTTTAGTTGATAGCCATCTTCCACACATTTCGTATACAAAGCTATCTTCAAGTCTTCCTTTGTATCAAAACAATCATCTTTTTTGATACGAATAATTTTTGTGTAACAATCAACTGCTATCTTTACCAACTCTTCTTCTGGTATCTGAAGTAATTCTGGCATATTCCAGTTATACTCCCGTGGCATTTTCTTCGTGGACTTTTCTTTGGGGATTTCTTCTTCTTCTTTTTCTTCTTCAGTGTTATATGAATTACAGAATGGATGTTCAACATGTTCATTTACAGTCGTAACTTCCTCCTCATTATCATCAACAACATCTTCCTCGGCAACGGCTGTTTCATCATCAAAATTCGGGTATTGACCAATAGAAAAATCATTACACGTAGGGTCTGTTTCTTCTTCTGAAAAATCATCAAAATCCGAGTATTGACCAAGATCAAAGTCCGGGTATTAACCAAGATCAAATTTAGAATACTGACTAGTACTCACAATTTTTTTCTGTTGGCTCATCATCGTCTAACTGGTCAATACGAAAACCGGAATTTGGTGCTGAAAGTTAATTGGGATTTGGATTAGAGAAAGGTTGTGGGTTTTGAGATTGTGTTTGGTATTGGAAATGTGGTGAAACAATATTTGCTTGGTGATGAAATTGTGGTGGAACCATTAAATTTTGAGCACCATAAACTGGGTTGAAAAACTTAGTTGATTACTACCCGCTACTGACCCAACTTCACTACTTCTATGTTTAACAACATACAATGTAACATCATCACTTGAAACACTAATGTAAGCAATGAATCGTTCAACATCTTCATTGTCGGTTAACAAATAAACTTTACCATTTCTCTGATAAGATAGCCTAAATCCACTTAGGGGCTCTAAATTCAATTTATTTGCAACACATAACATTGGAGTTTCATAAGTTAACTTTTTTAATGACAGTTTTAGTTGAAGATTCATGGGTAAAAGCATATATTGTAAGACACCATGAACATTCTCCCATGACCCTCCAAAACACAAATCTATCCAAACATGATCAACATTAGATGATTTCATTATTGTAAATTAATTTACTAAACAAACGAGCTGCGAAACTAAAACATGTTGCCGGATGGGGAAGGATGTCGTTGGATATAGGAACGGATGTCGCCGAAGAGAGTGATAGATGGAGATGGAATGAGTTGCAATTTAGGGATTTAGGTTATGAGTTGCTGCTGCTGCGTAGTTATATACCCAAAACATTTGTGTTGCGAAATTAAAACCTGTTGCGAATTCAGAAACGAGTTGCGAATTTGAAATTCAGTATTGCGATAGTCAGAATCTCGTTGCGATTTACAGATTCGCATTGCGATTTACGTGTTCGCGTTGCGATTTACGTATTCGCATTGCGATTTACGGATACGCATTACGATTTACGTATTCTCGTTGCGATTTACAGATACGCGTTGCGATTTACGTATTTTCGTTGCGATTTATGGATACGCGTTGCGATTTTACGTATTGTCGTTGCGATTTACGGATACGCGTTGCGATTTTACGGATACTCGTTGCGATAGTCAGAATCGCGTTGCGATTTATATGTTCGCGTTGCGATTATGAAAAATCGCAATGCGAATTTGTACTATCGCATTGCGATTCTTCATAATCGCGTTGCGATTCTGGGAACTGATTTGCGATTCTGGAGATCGCGTTGCGATTTTTATTTCGCATTGCGATTTTGTTGGTCATTTTGGCAAATCCAAAAAAAGTTGGTTAAAATCGTATATTATAAGACATTTTTTGTCACTGAAGTTATTTTCTCTAAAATTAAACGTTGAGGGTCAAGATGCTAAAAAAAGAATGGCTAAAGTGACTATTCAGTTAAACGTTAAGACTTTTTTTGCACTAAAACAAAATATCAAGGGCAAAATGCTTAAAAAAAGAATAAATACTGAAATGATTATTTTATTAAATGTTGGGATTAATTTTAATATTATATATAATATATTTAATATTGATTTTTTATATAAACGTGAAGTTTTTATTAAAAGAAAAAATTACGTGCGAATAAAACAAACAATATATAGAAAAAAGTTCTTACTGAACGTAAGCGAAAATTACGGTGTAAAGGGTAAATAATTAATACTCTTATCAATTGGAAAATTTACAGGATGTTTATTGGAAGTTACTAAAGGTTGAGGATGATAAAAATAACTTCATCAAGGGAAGCTATCAATGGGTGACTAAAATATCGTTTCACCACACGATCTGAATTAATCGATCTATTATAACTTCATCAAGGGAAGCTATTAATGGTGACTAAAATATCGTTTCACCACCCGATCTGAATTAATCGATTAATAGATCGGATACCAGTGATTAATTCAAAAAAATATTCGTTTCACAATGTATTTTTAATATCCGTAATTGTTTCTCTTTATAATATTCAAATATAAGTTTGCTTTTCAAAATGTTATGTATCTTATCATTGCACGCAATCTTCGTTGGTTTCATTCATGTATCTTTGATTGTATACTTCGTAAAATATGTTATTATAATTCGATTTTAATTTTAATTTTGCAATATATTTTAAAATATAAGAGTACAAAGAACATTGTGGTTAGGAGTGTGCAAATCCGGGTACCCGAAACTTCCGGGTCGGTGATTTTTTGGCCCGTGTCCCGACCCAGATGTTATGGGTACCCCATTTTTTTATTTTTCATTTTTAAATTATTAATTTAAAAAATATACACAAATTTAAATGTTCGAAACTTCGAATTACATACTCTAATATCCAAACATAAAATTTAAAAGTTCGAAATACAAAATCTAATAATCCATAATATAGATAATTCATTATATTATATATATATATATATATAAAATAAAATAACTAGATTTTGTGATCTGGGCCAGACCCAGAAAATGTCGAGCCGGGTAATTTTTTTAGAAAATTACCCCGTTTTTTAAGGTTCGGGTCGGCAGATCAGGTCAGATCAACCTGTCTGATAGTTTTGCACACCCATAATTGTGGCAGCTTATCATTGTAAGAAATTACAAAGAAACATCATCTCTTCTATTACAAATTTGGTGTTAACCTTACAAAGATACAGTTTTGGAAGAAACCAAAACCTGAGAGTTCGTTATGGACAAGTTCTCGAGGAATACTAAGCATTAGTACTGAACATGAATGAAGATGTAGGAATATGAACATTACAGCTCGTTGGAGTCATTGGGAAGTAGCCTTTTTCCGTTTCGGAATAGTGTTTCGAGCAGTTTCGGAGAAGTTAACGTCGCCACCGATTTGAACTGGATCGAAAACGATGTCATTACAGATCATATAGGAAACGTTTGAATCAATAGTATTAGAAGTTCATACAGAGGTGCTGGAAATGCGAGATCGAGCTTAAAATATTTGAACTGTTACCTTTTGTTGTGTATATTTCACACGGATAGCAGTTAGAGGACAACCGTTGGTGTTCAACTGTAGATCTTGCAATGCGAAAACCGTGGTTTTGAGATCGGATGCGTTGTACGCGGTGTAGTGTTCGAGAGTCGGATTCTGCCAAAACGGATAATGAAGTTAAGGTCGAATTTGTCGATCAAGGTCATAGAACTAAATCAAGGACCAATGAAGAAGTAATGCAGACCCATGGATGGCATGATTGATCCAATGTCCATCTAGCAAGAAATACAGCTGATGCAGCCACCATCGAAGGGGCGAAATTTAAGAAACCGTAGTCGATTAGTGTCAGTTCTGCTAGATAATTTGCCAGGTTTTCCAGTTCTAAACTAGGGGTCTGCAATTGGCAATTAGGTGTAGAACAGTCAGTCATATGCTATCAGTACTGCATGAATTAAGGCTAGTTCGAAACTAAGTATGTTACCGTGTAAGAAGCGTGTGCAGCTCTCACAAATCTCCTAAAACTCAGAATTTTATGCAAGGAAGGGAATTAGGATAACAATGGAGTATTCAAAGACTGTCGGAATTTCATACGCATGCATCGGATATCTCGTATCGGGCTAAAATACCTGAGAAAAGTTTTTGCAGTAGGTGCAAATAGTTGAAAACCAAAATACTTCAATACTCGACTCTCCATTTTTAGCACCTGCCAATTTTTCAAGTAAGAAACATAAGAAAAACTAAGTGGACAAGGGAAGTAGCAACAGCCTATGCCAAAAATTCGATGTCTGTTAATGCGATAACGATGATATACCTCCTCTCTAACGTAAGTGTTATCTGTGATGAAGCAAAACTCTTCCACACGAGGTGCACATATTTCTTCGTACTTGCTTCCGTTGTATAAAGAGAAACTAATGTTAGATACATATAGGAAAGCAAAATGCAGAGGTTATTTCTCGATGAATGCACCATTGTAATCATTGCGATGAATGCAAATGAAGGTCATTTAGATTCATTGCCGTTCATCTTCATTTTCTAATTGCAGCACCTGTTGTATTTGCTGTGCTAAATGCAGACTAGAAGTTCGAATTTTCGAATGAAAGAAATCATGCAACAAACTCTGCTGCTGATGAACAGACTTACGAGGCTATCAGCATGCAGGTGATCCCAAGAAGTTGAAGTCTCTTTCTTTCGATGTAGTCTCGGGAGAGAAACCGATCGATTAGATACACTGTAAGATACAGTGTGTCGGGGACCAACTTATATTCTTCGGATACCTGAAACCAATATGTCAACTAGCAAATCATTTCTCATAATCACATCATAAACACTGGTGCTGCAAGATATAAAAACGTGTATACAATCACCAGGAGTTTTTTCTGGTGAGAAATAACATTGGGAATGCTTGTTTGTAGTTGATAGTTCAAAAATAAAAAAACTTGAACTTCCTGATCGTTTGTTTTATGCGATTATGCAATACTTAAATAGCAGAACTAGACTAACCTCCACAAGCCAATCAACCAAAATTGCCCTCATGCTTTCAGTGATATCTTGCTGAATCAACTCCATAAAACAAGGATATGGCCTGCGAACAAGCTGAAGAAATAAAGAGATTGAATCAAATGCAGAAGTTTAAAGATTTGGCCAAGAAGAAGACAGTAGAAAGACATGAAAGTTCCACCTGTTACTCTAATGTTATGGGCAGGAAATTTAAGCTCACTCACAATGCATTAGAATTCAGAACATTAAGTTACAGGGTAGCCAAGAACTTCAAGACATGTTCCAGGGGCAGTTACTCATGTTACCGATTTTGCAAGTTTAGGAAATGAAGTTCATTAGCTCCTTAGTCAATGTAGAAAGAGTAATAATGGATGCTAGGAACATGAAATGAACATATATAAGATGGCATCCATAGTGCATACCTCAGCAACACGCAAGTTGTTATAGATTTCTGGTGCATAGAGGCTGCACAATTGAGGGTCCTTATCCGAATCAATGTCCTTAAAGTCTGGATCACTAGATGTTGTCGAGGTCCCAGAAAAGCTAACCTTCTCTACTGTAACCATTTTGAAACAAGAAATACAAGCATATGTTAACCTATATATCTTCAGGTTAGAACTATAACCAACACAAGAAAGCAAGCTATGAATTGTAAATTTGGCTATGCCATCAGGAAAGAAAAAACACATTGCTTGCTAACCATTTGTTAGAGGACTTTGTGGTTGTAAAGGTACTGCGGAATTTTGATTTGCAAGGCGGTCGTAATGTACGTCATCTTCTCTAACATTAACTGAGCTTGTAACTTCTTCTAACTTAGGATCTATTATTTCAGTCTCTCGAATGCCTTCTTTATGTAACTCAGATTCAGTCTGCTGGACTTGAGGTGCTACATCTGGGGCCACTTTGGATGCATTGGCCTGTGCCTTTCTAGCCTGCTTACTGCCCTTAGACTGGAAGTGTCAAAATCATAAATAAGTAATAGGTCTTATTGTGCTTATATAGCAACATGCGAAACTAAAACATTTGAGCAGTCAAATACATTTTTCATCAACAACTTTAATAATCATACCATAATAATTTAAAATGTAAATCCTTATATAACCTGGATTTTGGGTGCATTAAAGCACTTCCTATATGAATTGTTGCAGCAAACATTCGTGACATCCTGAAGCGCTGCTCTCTTCTTAGATGGATGACCTGCCTTATCAGCTGCACTGGTGTTGTTTTCGTCTAAGGATGTTCGTTTTAAATTTGCTAGCAAAACGCGTCCCTGATCTGGTTGAGTAGGTGCCTTTAGAGGAGGTAACTCTCGAGAAACACACAACGCAGCTGCTCGAGCACGCGTGAGTCGACCATTAAACTCTCCAGCATTAGCAGAAACTACATTTTCCTTCATCATCTTTGCAAGTCTTGGAAAATTACAAGGCATAGCACTAAAATGAAGCTAGAAACGTAAGGCCTGCTTCAGTGGTCAAAATCATGGTAAGTAGACATCAAATAAGCAGATCAAGCAACAATATCCATTAAAACTTCAGATTGAGTAAAAATGGAAAAGTCAGATATGAGATAACAGATCTCACAAGCAGATAATCAAACATATTAACAGCATAGTAGAAGTTGATGATGCCACAGAAAAATTAACTTTCGATGCTTCGAAGAAATACATGTTGGCAATTCATCCAAGATAATGACTCTCCATTACTTGCCATTTGATCCATCAGATTTGAACATGAAAATTCTATAACTTGACCAAAACATACAACACACCACCTAGTAATTCAAGCAATGCGTGTAGGGAACCTTAGATTTCAACTAACAGTTTAAAACAACCAGAAACTAACAATAAAAGGAAACACCTTTTCCTGTCTAAAAATTGTTTACAAATGAAAGTAGTTTGAAAATAGATTTCATCTAAGAAAGTTAATATCTTTGAAGCCACATTTTCTTAAACAATCATTTCTCTCAAAGTCTTAAACTTTTTCAAAAACTGAAGTGAAACAAGAAATCCCCAGATCCGTCTGGTGGCTTATAAACCATTAAAAATTGAAATTCAACAGGAAAAAAATGAAAGGAAAAGGAAACTGAAAAAGGGTATCTTATGGAATCAGATGAATGTTCATAAAGATAGAAAATTTGACCTGGTTTTTCTCCTTTCTGAGCTCCAAGAGCATAGCTTAGAGCTTTGAAGGAAGAAAAGCAGTAGTGTGAGCGGGACAGTGTGTGTTTAAACTTAGAAATTTAAAAGAAAATATTAAAATGGTTTTAAAAATTAATTAAATTTGTCTACAACATTAAAATTGAAAGATGAAAACAGACAGTCACAGTTAATTTGTCTGACAGTTTGTTAAATTGGTTCTGATGCTTTGATTCAATTCTTAATGCTTTTTTTATCAAAAAGAAATTCTTTTCGTTTTTACATGTTTGACCCTGATTTCTTGACTCCTTCGACTAGCTCATAGGATATGGAGGAGATGATGGTCATTTCCTGGACGATTAGATTTAGCCGAGGAAGCTTAGATCTTGGAATATGAAGCATCTGAAGTTGGTTTCGATTTATCAAAATGACCTTTGTTTCTATTTTAATTTTTTTCATTTTCAATTTTTAGATTGAATTTTAATACACGATTTAGATAATTTTTTCACGTTACTTAATTTAAATTTGTGGTTTGTTGGTTGTCTTTTTATAATTTGATTTCTTTTATAGTTTATTTATCAATGCGATCAGATCTATTCGTATTTATTTTTTATTCGAATTTATTTAGTCAAACTTATTCATAATTATAAATTTTTTTATAATTTAAATATTTTTTGTTTTTAATAAAACTAACTACTTGTATATATAAAAAAGTCTTCTTGATCTGTATTTGTCCTTTTCAAACTTTATTCCTAAATTCACAACTTCGGTTATTTAAATTTATATAACAAAGTTTTATAAGTTTTAAGTATATTACTTATATTACTTCAATAATATATATTTATAATAAAATATTTTAATTAATATATATTTACTCTTGTAATTTGTTTTGAATATCCACCGATAAAAGTATCATAACCAACTCATACTAGTGTGGATAATGACGTGAATAGTGATATGATCTAACAATAATTTTAGTCCTTAAAATTTATACAATTCAATAAATTAATCTTTATCTAAAATAATTCAATAAATTTAGTCATTCATATTTAAAAATTATTATTTTAATCTTTATTTTTCTCTTTAATTGTTTGTTCTTCTCCCATAAATTTTATATTGCTTTCTTAGTGTAATAATAATATACTAGTAACTTATTGTTTTAGGAAGATTGCAGATATTCAACTATTATCAGTATCGTAAAAAAGATTAAATTGATCAAAATATTAAATATGAGAGTTAAATTTATTAATTTATTTTATATTGGAGCAGAATTGATAGAATGTATAAGTTTTGAGAATAGAAATATTATTGAAATTTAGTGACATATTCCTAATAGTATTTTAATTAAATAACATGTTTATAATTTTTAGAAAATAATAATATATTTATTACTAAATTTATAATTAGATGACCTTAGGCATAATTTACCCATGAATCTTTTTTGGATACATAGTATTGGAATTTTGACTAGTCAAATCCCATGTCTTGGTTTTTCTGACAAGATAAATCTTTTAATTTATCCAAAAAAAAACATAGATATGATAAATATTGTTTCTTATTGTAATTTTATATTTTTGTATAGTAGTATTTAAAATATTATATAATAATGTTTTTTTAAATATACTTAAATCTATATTACATTTTTAATTATTTTTAGTATACTTTAATTTTTTTATTTATGATTCAAATCGTTTATTGTATCGAATGCACATGAAGTTACGATTTGAACTTAAAATTTATTTGTAGTCAAATTCAAGAAAAATAAATATTATTAAATAAAAAAAGGGTGAGAAGTGGAGGGTTAGGGGTTTGGGAAGATGCTTTTGAAATAAGGGATTTGATTCAAAACTTTTAACTTGACACTTTTGTCCCCGATATTCGACTGATACAGCTAGCATTGTTGCCTGGTGGTCCAAAATTCAAATAAAATAATTCGACTTTAATGAATATTAAAGTAATAAAATATTAGAAGAAAATGGAAGCAACTGGAAGCGGCTTGAAGGCAGCAGGGTTTGACACTGATAAAAGGAATATAATGATGTAAAAAGTAATATTTTTAATATATCTTATTAACATATTGAATTTTATGATAAAATATATAAATAGTATTATGTTATAGGATATTATTTTATTGAGTCGTCTGACTATAAAATGGTCATTCGATTATAGGGTGATATTTTGTTGAGTATTTCGACTATTAAAAGTTATAAAATAATCACTCAGTATTCATATATTCTAATATCGTTTACTTGATTAAAAATTGACAACCGTCTGAACTGGACGTTAGCATGTTAATTAAGAAATAATAAAATTATATTTTATTAATGTCTACTAACATCGCTATTGCTTTCAAGTTCTGGCTCGACGATATAATGTTTCAAGCACATGCTCAACGACATAATATAAACGAAGAGTTGATTTATAAAATACAACTCAAACGATTCTAGGATCAGATTTTATCATATCTTAGTCAACAAGTTAACGTCCAGTTCAGACGATCGTCAATTTTTAATGGAAAATGAGGAGTTTGGAACATATAAATAGTCAGATGATCATTTTGTAGCTTTTAATAGTCGATAGACTTAACAAAGCAACGTCCTATAGTCGAGAGATCATTTTATAACTTTTAGGGTAAACTATGTGAATATTCCCCTATGTTTTTGGTATGACCGACTTTGGTCATCAATTTAAAAATTAAGGAGAAATGATCCTTAATGTTATCGATCCATTCGATTTTAATCTCTAATGTTATCAATCTAGTCGATGTTGGTCTCTTAGTCGTTAACTCCCGTTCAATTTTAGTCCCTCAACCATGTTAGGGACTTAAACAAAAAGGGCCAACGAAAATTAATATCAGAGGGATTTAAACCGGACAGATCGATAATGTGAGTGACTATTTACCCTTAACTTTTAAATTGGTGACCAAAGTCAGTCAAACCCTAAACAAAAAGAACTATTCACATAATTTACCATAACTTTTAATAGAAAAGAAACTTAATAAAATAACACCTATAATCAAGAGATCATTTATTTATTTCATCTTACTGTATAATCATTTTCTTTTTTGAAAAGATTAAGATCTAAATTTACGCACACGTGTAGACTACATTATTCGAATTTGAATCATTTAAAAAATAAAATTTACTTTAATCATTGGGACGATTCCAAAAAATTATCATTTTCGTATTTAAATATAAAAGATTAATATATTTTTTTTGTTAAATCTTAAGGGATCAAATGGGTATTTTCTCAGACTATAGGAAAATAAGTGAAATTTTCATTGAACAAAATTGTATACTTTTTCTTGTACTCTAGTAAGATCTATCGTCAATTTATGTAGCAGATTTAGCCATTGATTTCTACTCGATCTGACGAGAAATTAATGAAACGATTGATTGTATAGTCCAAATATATTCCTTATTGGATGAGATATTTTTTTTTGTAATGCTGTTAAATAATTTATTTAATATATTATATATAGATATTTATAATTTGATGTAGCGGCTTCGACCTATTTTATATTAAAAAAATATGAAAATATGGTATGCGAAGACATGAGCCGGGCAAGCAAAATGATTTTGAAATTTTGAAAGAAATGAAAATGAAGTAGGATCTAGGAAGAAGTATCACATGAGATGGCAGCTTTTATGACCCATTGAACATGTCGTTTTGTTTTTATCTTTCAGTTGATTTTGGACCCACGTGATGGGAAACACACAATCCCTCTTAATCGCCCATTAATGCTTGCTTTTTGTTAACCCTTTATCAGACTAAAAAGAGTCGAAAGCCTTTGCTTGCAGCATCAGCATAAACAATTCTGCTAGCTGGCTTTCAAATCTCACGGTATCTAAGCTCCGATCTAGGTTAGCTTAGGAAATTCTAAAATAGAATTTGTTAATATAAAGTTAAAAACGGTTATAATTGAAAATTTTATTAAAAAACTAATTTTATAAATTAAACAAAACATAGATTTAATTCGTTGCAATTGAAAATGTTACATTCTTCATAACATTTTCAGTTGCAACCAAAAGTATTATCTTATTTATAACATTTTTTTATGTCTTAAACCCTTACAAAGTTAACCGAAAATGTTACAAATTTATAAAACTTCTCAATTGAACATGATAACATTTTAAGCGGGAAACCTTCTTAAATTAATCTTAAATTATGTTATCGCGCAGTAGAATTATCCATATAAGTGGTATTTGTTCTAATGTTTCTCAATCATTTGATAGTGAAAGCTCAAACACCTTTACAGTCTCTGATGTTCGAACCTGAAACTTTTAGAGATAATATATATCCCTTTAACCAATGAAGTATCTTAATTCATGTGGTAAGTTGTTAATGTAGGATAACACATAACAAGTGAATGATGATCTACAACAACAACAAAAATCAGCCGTACATTTATTTAATCCAAATTTCTTTCGTAAAACTAATTGCCTTACATTTTTTCGCGCATTAAGATCTTTGGATAACACTTCCATAGTAAGAATTTTGGGAAAACAACTCGGGACACAATCCCTTAGAATCTAATTTGAAACTTTTGGGAAGTCACGGTTTTTGACATGACATCTTACAAGCTCACTTGATATGCTAGAATCAAAATTTATTATCAGTTTATCGTATTTATTAGGCATGTCAACCTACAAGTAGCCATAATAATTTTGCGTCTAACACTAGCATTGAGGGTCATTATGAAACCTCTCGAATGAGACTGAGAGGAGATCCAAAAACATATTCGCAAATATTCATTGTTTTCTCTTTTTTATATCTCATCTTTGTTTTTCTCTTGTTTTTTTAGTTTCTAATAACTCTGTTTTTATGACACGCTTTCGTCTGCCTTTTGGCGCGCTTTCGTAAGCCATTTGGCACATTTTCAGTCCTTTCTATTAATTGTTTGACCGTTCTCATCGTTTAATTTTTTATGGTTTGATTTTACGTTGTCTCAACTAATCAAGATGACATTTATTAGTTATCATGTTAATATATCCTACTTTGAATCCTCAGATTAGATTTGAGATTTGCGTTCTTCACCGTGACATGGTGAACCGTACCCATCACCG